AGATCAGAAGGACAAATCTTCCACAGTGAATTGGTCCTCTATTGCCAAGGGAGGCAACTATTGATGGGAGCAATTAGATTGACGTTAGTTCTGATAAGAGCATCATTTCGTAAACTTGATCTCATCACTACTTTTGAATCAATAGTTCCCAACCTTTAGTTCTCTGTATTCTAGAAAGTTACAAAGAGACTACTTGGATGTAACAAGTTGTAAAGGACAATTAATTAAATGACTCAACCTTTCACACCATCTCATATCAAATGAAAAGTTTCCAATACTCAATTTTCATTAATTATATAGGTACTTGAAGGGAAACAGTTTGACTTAATATCCTACAATGGGAATTAACATTAACCCAATTTAGCTTCATTTGCTTTGTGCTCTGATAGCAAAACTGCTTAGTTTGGTTTTTAAGCAAAATAAATCAATGAAGACATTATTTGCACTTAGTTGGGTTTTAAAGTTTTGGACTAATAATGTAACAACATTAGGCAGTATTTTCAATTATAAGCAAGAATTAAAAAAATAAAAAAGCAAAGAAGAGGAATTATTATGTAAATTCCTAACAGTACAAATAGTTGGTGCAGTGTAAGGGATCTGGGGAAAAAATGACTTGAAGGGATTGACAGTCGTAATGGCACAACTTGAGTCGCCTGTAAGCTTTTAATATTTATATTTTAAATATGATTTTATATTTACTCTGCAGATATACCTGAGCCCTTTTTTTTTTACAAAGTTGACTGAAAATTTGAGCAAAACAGTGAGATTTTATCCTTAATGTTTCGATAAGCTATTTTTCTTTCCTTATCACTAATAATTATAACTTTAAATCATACGGTACATTCTACATGAAAGCAATTATTTAAACTAAGTATATAATTGCAAAATTTAATAAATTTTCTATATTGTTTGTGACTGATATTAATAAACTATTGTATATGTTTATACTATTTACATCATTTGGATTGTTGTCATCATCTTTATTGCCATATTCATGATGTTTCAGCTGTTGTATGCTCATGCCTTCTTCACATGATATACATTGGAATTTTGAGCTAAAACATTTATTTAGCTCACGGGGGTAGATTGTTCTAATTCCATGTGCCATGCCTTTTTTTTTCTTGGATATCTCAGTTTCAGTTAATTCCTTTTAGTAACTCAAATTTCCACGTTTTTGTTCACTTCTGCTGTGGCCAGGTTTTACAAGCCTTTGGATCACGTCACTTTTTGAACCAACTTCCCAAGGACACATGGTCCAATGGATAAAAGTGTTGGTGGAAATAATCCAAAAAGGGACTTGACCCAAAGAATTGGGAGTTCAATACCTGGCCACAGGAATTAGAACAATCTGTCCCTGCGGACTAAATAAAGGGTTCAGTTCGAAATTCCAACATATATCACCTGATGAATGTCGATGGCAATGAAGATGAGGACAACCATCCGAATAGTGTAAATAGTTACAATATCTCATCTCAGAAATATAGACAGATATTAAATATATTTTTATTGTTATACATTTCATCTGAATATGAAGATATAATGTCTGTGAAAGTCCAATACATAATTGCTTATTTACAGACATCCAACTAATTATACCCAGCAGTATATCATGTGTTAATTAGCAGGGCAGACCAGGCTCTCTAGCCATGGTTAGCAACCAGTCTAGGAGAGCATCAATTCTGAATTCAAAACTTCATGTAGCCCTGGTAAATCATGTACTATACAGCCACTGAAAGGATTATAGAGTTTGCAATTAACTGCAATGCAAAGTTGTAGACTATAATATCAATTGAGGATGAAGAGATAGGTAGGTATATCCAGAAGATTGGTCTATCATGTGTAAATAATATTTTATCTATTCTTGGATTATTTCCAAATATGGTGCAGATATTGACATATTGTAGTAAATTATTCCCATCAATGAATTTGTCATCAATATTTTCTACTATATTATTGGCATATATAAAATCACTATCAATGTATGAACTACCCTATGAGTTTTATAGTCACTGGTTTGGTTTGTTTTACGGCATATCAACCTCAACAGGTTATTTAATGCCAACAAGATTTTTATTGCTGGTAATATTTTTTTTTCCAAAAATGTATTGCTGATAATAATTTTTTTTTTTTTTTTTTAAATCATTGCTAGGAATAATTTTTTATAAAAATGTATTGCTGGTATTAAAACCTATTTTTACACATTCATAATGTTTTGACCCCAGTTTGGTTAACTATTTGGGACCCTAACAGGTGCTACAACCCTGGGTCAGGGTGGACCTGAGAACACCAGCAATTAAGAGGTGGTTCCACACTCCTCAAAACCTTCTGATCAGAGGCCTTGCTGTTGGATGTAGTTTATCATCTTACCCAGAACAGTTTATAGTCAAAATTATTAATGGCAGACTATACTATGCAACTTAAGCAATATATGATACCTCTTTATTAGTTCAAAATGATTGAACCAATTTAGGTAAAGACAAAAGCAAGATCCAACAAACACTCAATAAATAAAAATTATTTAAAATTGAAAATAAAGAAACTTATAAAAGAGGAAATATATAAGAACTGATACCTATATATATATATATTATATATATATATATATATAAAAATGACAAAGTCCAGTGATCTCATCAGGTATGTTGTAATGATATTACAATCCCAAAACCATGTCTGCTCCTTGTCCCCTGGTTAGCAGTACTGCTAAAGGAAATTATTATTTATTATTAATCATATCTGACAAGGCTGAATAAAAGTTTCTAACTCACCAGGAAAAATGAGAAATCACAATTAATAAAAACTAGATATTTGTAATTTTATAAAAAGTAAAAACAATGTCACCCTTTAGTAAATATAACAGAATCTTGTTCCCATTAAATAAAAACTATTTAGATAAAATAAATGCTTTTATTTATCTACAGTGTAACTAAGTGAATAAGACCACTTGGTATTTTTATATTTTAAACTACAAGTAATATCCCATGATATTTAATTGCAATAAATGAATTTTTCTAAGTGTATTTTTTTGTATTGTATATTTATTCTAGATATGATTCATTGCAAAAAGAATAAGTTTGGCAGATGAAGTACTTACGAGGAGAACTCTTAAAGACTTCTTTAAGTTTATTTCCAAAAGTGGAGAAACCAAATTCTTTCTTCTTCTGTGGTCTGGAATGGATAACAATGTAGAATTTAATGAAACAGAATAAGTCATAGTATAAAAAGAAAATTTTAATTCACAAAAATATTTTTTTTAAGTCTTTAAGAGTTATCAAGTAAAAACAAGAAATAGTGACCATTTTCATGTCTTTTGTTTGTTTTTTTAGTGACAACAAATGGTTCAGGAACTGATTGGTAGCTATAATGTGCCTCATTTAAGACAGTGAAAAATTGAGGTTTGCATAACCAACTACAGTTAAATGAGCAAAAATATCTTCTTTCTAAAGAGTTGGCCATAGATTTTGAAAAAATCTATAAGCTTAAATACATAAGGAAGATAGGGGGGAAAAACAAGCAGAGCAAGTAAGAAACACTTGTTAAAAACAATCTTCTCAGCATCAGTCTATAATGAATCATCCAAACATGGATTTATCCGGCCACTGGCATATAATCATAAAAATTAAGAAGTGATTTTGAGGATTGTACTGTAGAACTCACCTTCATTATAAATGCAAGCAACGTACTGAGTAGCAGTAATTAATAAGCTAGTCTCCCAGAAGATTACTAGGAGGATTTTGATCCTCAGTGGTTGCTAAACTTAGCAAATATCAATATGCAAGTAAATAATCCCCAAAGAGGATTGACGTTTAGGGAAATGTGAAGGTTGTTTAATTATTAAAAGAGAAAAGTGCTACCTTTAACATTTCATAGATATTTTATGGTTCACTGACATCAAAATGGATAATAAAACATTAGTTTACTCATGGCATCAAAAGTGTATTGGATTGGAGAAAGAAAATTGGGGGGGGCACAACTCTTAACATATCATTGGGTTAACCAGGGTAAGAGGGGGTCAAGATTACTAACAAATGAACAGATTGCAAGAAAATTATTTCCATGCCTTTCCCAAATTTACAGGCATTAAGTGACAGAAATAAAGGACCATATATCACTTAGAATTTTTGAAACCTTATTTATATTTTTAGGAAGTCCAGTGTAGAACACAGCTTTATGATTTACAATTTAATCTCTTGGTTTTTCTTCTTGGGTTTGTGGCATCCATTGATCTTAAAAGATCATGGATCTGCACTCAAAAAGTTATGCCTCAGCTGCTGATGGCAGCACAGCATCAGTTATGGCTGTACAGGCCCGCACAGAAGTGACAGTCTTGATTACAATGAACACATGTGAAGACACTCTTCCCCAATGTCACCGCATTGTCCCCTTTCCTTCAAGCATGCTTTTCCCCAGTAAGCATCTCCAACCTTCAGTGTGAATTGTATCTCCGGCATAAGCAATTATTTGTAACATCTTCCTACCTATTAATGTTCATTGCCTTCATGTCACTTTTGCAAATGTCCTTGAAGTGAAGATGAGGTTGCAGTGATGCCCCCTTGCCAGAGGCCAGTTCCTAATACAGAAGGACCTCCGGAATCCTCATATCATTAGACTGTTGCTTCCCTTGTTTTGACATTGCAGTAAGTTGATGCTGGAGTACCATGTCCTTTAGCCAAAACTTGTTCAATAAATCTAATTTTATACAGTAAAGAAAATTCTGTTTTAATAAAGGAATCAGTTGATCGATACATTCATTCATTCGTTTTCTATGGCTTATCAACCCTTTGAATGTTAGTTAAAGCCAGAAAATATTTTGAGAATGGAAGAATTTGGGGGAAGAAATAATGATTTAATGATACAAGTTTTACTAATTAACCCATACCTAGGGATAGAAGAGGTGGGTATTTGAACCCAAGTGAATATAACAAACCCAACTGAAATTGGAACTCGGCTCTGATTTTCAATTCCAAGTCATTATTCATTACACAGCCTGCTCATCCAAGCTTACAACACCTGGTATTCAGAAGTGGTCATCCATCTAGGTACTGACCTGGCTCAACATTGCTTAACTTCATAGATCATACGAGAACCAATGTTTCCATGTGATATGGCCGTAAGCCTTAATCAAGATATTCAGATAATAAAATAAAATTTCCAAACTAATTTGGTAAAAAGGAATTTTTCTTATTCAGTTTTATGTATATGAATCTCATTTGCTAGGAGTAAAATTCTGCTTTCAAAACAATGGCAAAGAATTCCTATTATTTATCACCACCCAACAAAAAACAACCAAGTCATTGTAGAAAAAAATGTTCTAAAAAGAACATTTTTAACTATGTTTCTGGTTTCTTTCATAAGCAAGAATTGAAAAGGCCTTGTGAAAATGTTCATGTTGCAATGGATTATTAAGGATTAAACATTCAAATGTAATGAAACGATGAGGCTAGATATATTTCAGTTTTATTATGTTTCATCTGCTGAAAGTGGTGAACATAACAAAAAGTATGAAAGCAAATGTGAAATATGCAGCAATAGCTTTATCAAGTGCAATATTAAAAGAGAGATTCATAGTATTATAAAGAGAAGAGCAATGAATAATATCAAAAAAAGTATCAAGAAAGATGCACATGTCCATCATAAAAGTTTCTGCTCACAATGGCAAAAATCAACAACATTTCAAATCAAATTGAGCAAAAAAATTACAAATCACTTTCAAATGTTTTCTAATATATTAGTGTTTGAATATTACAGAAACATTGAACCAAGGAATTTTTTTTTAAGTAGGGCAATATGTAATACACTTTTTTAAAAATCTGCAAAAGTTATACAAGAATTTAAATTTTAAAAGATTTTGCTTATAAAACTGAAAATATATATTTACATATTAACACCAAATATATATTATATATAAAATATTGTTATAAATTAAATGATAATCTTGAAAAATACAAATTTATAAATAGGATTAACAAAATATGAAATAATATTAAATATAACAATAATGATATGAAATTAAAAAAATAAATATAACAGAAAATTAGAAAATGTAGGAATTTAAATAATATTAATAAAGATTTAATTCAATACATTCAAACAATTATAAAAAGATTATTTAAATAAACTATCACAAGTCTACAATCCGATGGTAAACATTATACAGGGACTTCACAACAAATAACTTAAAAAGATAACAATGAATGCAAAAGAATAATGTGAGATAAAATAAAACTTCATCAATTTTATAAATATTTACTTATGGTAAAAATGACTTTCAAACACTTCGATTTGAAATCCACTTTTCTTCTTTGTTTAGTTAATATTTTACATAAATTGAAGTATGAAAGTAGACAAGATGGTTTCATTCTCATCCGCTTGTAGAAATGGATTCAGCCAGATAACTTAAGATAACACTTTTTGATGATAGAATAATTGTTAGAGATGGAAAGACAGGATGTTCTATCTAAAGTGAAATATATGAATTGCTAGTCAATATCCCTAAGCCCATGAAAACTGCAGAGGCCCAGAGGTGATGCAAGTATGAGACTACTGAAAACTAACACGAATTTTAACCATGCAATAAAGGAGAACATATTGTATAAAGCTATATATACTAATTCAATATACAAATATTACTCAGCCCATCAATCAATCAATCCATTATACTGTGTACACTGCATTCCATTAGGTCTTGTATCCAGCAAAAGTATCATTATTAAAATCATTTGCTGCACTTTACATGAGACAGAAAAAATAGGGGAAAACCAGTGCTTGGTCAGATGAGACTAGGTTACAACACTTTCAGTTGGTGAATAGCATGAGGCTATGGTTCTAACCTGTTAGCAGGCCATTGCACAAGCTGTTGATAACTTTGTAATAATGTCAACTGTGTTTTGTTGGCATTTGCAAGGATCACTAGCGAAACTAGAGTTCATCTTAACACGTATGATGCACGGATCTTACTGCAGAACATTCAAACCCCTTTATGCTTTGCCATGTTTCACTTCCAGCAAGTCAATGATACCACATCCTCATGTTTGTTTCCAGAAATACTTGGTTAACTTCCAAGACATTTGGCTGATTTTAAAAATTTTATGACATGTTAGAGATCTCACTAAATTCTCTGAAACCATATACAGCAAACACAATTAAGTTATAAACAGTTCTGAAAAGCACTTGGTCTTTCTTTATATGTCCCATCAGGATATAGGCAATTACAGCTCTCCACAACTTCCTGTAATTGTAGCTCTTAATAAATTTTGTCTGTTATTTCTCCTAAATCCTGTTCCTCCAAGTTCACAATGTTATACAGTGTTTTCCTGTCTCACTTGCCTTCTATTTATCCTGTAAGTATCAGATTTTCCAAGCCCTCTTTTCTCATTATGTACCCTAGACAGCAAAACTGTCTCTTCTTGATATTAGGTACAAGTTTTCTTTTTGATTTAATTTTCTCTAAAACTTTGTCGTTTCTCACATGTTCAGTCCATGGAATCCTCAGCATCCTTCTGTAGAACCACATTTCTGTTGCTTCAATTTCATAGACTCCATAGACTGTCAAATAGCCACTGTTATTCAGGCATTAAGTGGAGCTACAGATTATCAGATAGATATATTTAATTTGTTGACACTTCAATTTACTTGTTTTCATGCTAATACTAATATTATTATTATAATACTAATATTATTGTTGTGAAGTTGAAGTTAGCACTAATCAGCCGCTAAGCTCGTACTTCTACCTTGTTATTCCCAGTGACCACTTATATGAGTGTTCACTTATGCTTATGCAAATTATGCATACAAATTTGCTAGTATCACTACAATTATAAAAGAACTAAAGTGTGTCTTTAAAGAGGGATAACTTCTTTTTTTTCACTTTGCTTGAACTTGAGTTTTTTCTTTGTGTTTTTTCACTAATATGGTCGTTGTCAAAAATATTCCAGAATAAGAAATAAAACCTAAGACCTCATCAGTACTAGTTAATTGCTTTAACTACAGAGCTAAATCCCAAAATATTTGACCTTCTTTATATTTATGCTTATATCAAACAACAATGAAAAGAAGGAAAAATGGAACAAGACAAAAATATCACACCAGAAAGATCACCCGCAGCCATGTGTTAAACTATTAAAAAAAAAAAAAAAGAGGCAATATTAAGTAAAAATATAGTAACATCACTTTTAGTTTATTTTCTTCAAATTGTACACACAAATGCACCAAGTGAAGAAAAGGCACAAAAAGACATTGAAATATCCTATTTTGGCAGTAATCAAAGGAATTGGGTTTAACTTTGTGTATCTGCTTGATCCAAACCATGAAAGAATTTGTATTTCGTAAATATATTTTCCCTCAAAGTGTTTGGAAATGGCTGCCACTATAGGAATAGTGGCTGAATCTAGAAAAAGAAGTTATTTTTTTTTTAAAGAAACAAAAGGTAATTGCTGTGAAGAAAACCATTTAGCAAGAGCCTGATTACCTTGATTCAAGTGCATCTACAAATACATGGAAGGAAGATAAGTTAAAACAATAAGTAGAAGCTGATTGGCAGAAGCAAAACAAAGGGGGAGGGGGAAAAGAGGCATTTGTAAATAATTCCACCTTCAAAGTTGGATCATGTATCAAATCAGAACTTAGCCAATCATTGAGACATTATAACTTTTCCTTACAAAATAATTAGTTGAGCTTCAGATTCTTTAATTTTTAAATCTAAGATTTTTTTTTATGCTTTCTTCAATTACCATCTTAATTTTTTTCATCACGATCACCATTCAGGTTGTAAGGACATGTACTGCAGCTGAAATAGCAGTGATGTTTCCTGGGCAAGAGAGCCTGATGGAGCCCAACCCTCTCCAGGCCATTTTGAAATCAGAGTTTTTTCCTTCTCTTAGACTGGTTACCACCCAAAGTTATAGGAGCCAGTCTGTCCTGATATTTACCTATAGCTAGAGGGAAAAGAGATCAATTCATCCTTTTCCCAGGGGTATTTGCACGTAAGTGAACATAATGAACTCAATAAATTCAAACTCGGCTCTCTGATTCCTCAATCCAAGCCACTTTGCCTTTTTTTATACAGATTGATAATCATTTCTATCTCTTATTTATCACTCTCTTCCTTTCTTGATTCTATTTTAAATGCTTTGCTTCATGTTCTTTCGTTTTTATTATCTGATATTGGATTTTTCTGAGATTTTATTTTCTTTTTATTATATTTATCTTTTCTTTCATCTCAGTTTTGTCATGTTTTTTTGCCAATTTTTAGCTCTCTTTATTTCCTAGGATATCTTCCACCCACTCCACACCTTTTTACTTTCTTCCTCTTGCAATTTTAATTACTAACCTTTAGATTTTGCCATACTATGATATTTCTTATCCTTCTTTTTTTTTTTAATTCTCACTTTATACTCATTTCCTTTCCCTCTCTCCAAATATATTTCTATCCTGTTTACAAACGCCTCTCTTTCTCCTTTGTTTTGCTTCTGCCATCCAGTTTCTCCCAAACTTACTTGTCACCTTCAGTTAGCTAAACTACTAATCCTTTTCTATTTTTTTTTTTTACAATGATGTTCACCCTGGGAGCCACTCGGGGTAGAGGGTTACAGAGTAAGAGACACAGTTTATGGAGATATGTGGGGATATCTTGGCAGAGCCAACTAAGGGAGATAACCGTACAGAGTTATCAGCCTTGATCAGGGAGTTTTGGCTGGAGAGTACTAGAACAATGGCAGACATATAAACACATGCAAATTACGGCTCTATTCAATCCTTTCCCATTTTGCTGGTTACATGTCAGTTTTACCAAAAATAAAGGTTTTAAATAATAACAATATCTGATCTTCAACTTGATTATTTCATTATAACAGCATCTATAACAGGAAAATAGCAGTTAAGAGGTTAAGATCATATTGATCAGAGAAGCATCTTAAATCTTTTAAATACATTCTTGATATCCATTTCTTTCTTTCTTTCCATATTTCATTATTTTTTTAAATATCAGTAAAAACACATCTGTCTTGCCTGAATGTTTACATGGCAAAAGGATAAATTTGTTTTCTATACACTTGTCAATAAAAATAGAAAACTATAAGTGGCTTCTAAAACCTAAATGACTTAACTCAGAAAGTAC